CTTTAAATGCTTATTACGGAGAGTAGCACCATTTTTTCAAACAGCCTTCACCTACGCAATTTCTTGGGAATTTCAACCTACCAAAGCATAAACATGGCCTTTAAAAGCAGGCAAGAGTGTGCAATCCCGGCCACACTCTAATCGCTTCAGACATTTCAGCATCAGAATGCTAGACTTGTTGAGCCACTTTGCACCAGATCTCTAAAATATCCCCACCCTCCCCCCTCCATCCTCATTTCCGTTCTAGACATTTAAAAAAAATTCCCCCTCTGACTCCGCAAAAGCAAGCGACAGATTCGCCCAAGCCAAGCTGTTTTCCGGAGACCGAAGACAGCAGACCCAATTAATTCATGTATAAAGTTGATTGATTCATCGAAAAAACAGATCCATCTCTGATTAAAGCTCCTTTTTTTCCTTTTGCCGGCAAGGCACCCTTTGTTCCCGTGCACAGAACAACGAGTAATTCAAAAGTCAGATCAACTTCAACTGACTGCGGCAAAGCAGTTCTCGAAAAAATTTATTAAGAATAAAGCTTAAAACGTAAAACTCACAAAAGAAAACTCTGCACAAGTCTGAATCCTACAGAACAATAAAAGAGAACGATGCGCTACAAATTTGCAAAAACGCAACAGAAAATGTTTTGCAACAACATAAACACGATAAATAACGCGTCGAATAAGTTAAGAGTTGGTTCGAGATTCAAAATTCAAACACTGCCTGTTGAAAAATTTCTGATCTCGGACAGAAAAAAAATGAGTTCTTGAATTACCAACCAGTGCTGCCACGCGGTTCAATAATCCAGTTTTTTTTTTCTTTTTTTTTTTACAGCAACAACAATTTCCTTCAAGCGAGTCGGAAAATTACAAAGAAACAAATAAAATTACAAAGAAAATGCCCCGAAACAATTCTTGTATTTAAATCACCAAAAATTTCTCCCAACCAAACCACCACGGACCCAAATTCCTTATTTCTTCTTCTTCGGTTCCACTCACCACCGCACGAGCCCTCTTCTTCCCCTTCTCCTAGCTCTCACTCCATCCCTAAGCCCTCGTGACCTCCCTCCATCCGCCCCAGGTCATCCTCCCCTTCGCTGGTGCTCTAGTCGTTCGATACTACCGACGGGGGTGTGACCTTTCCAACAGGAAAACAACTGCTTGGAAGGTTCGCGAAGGTCACTCGCGATACTTCGCGATACCACCAGACCGCTTTTTGGACTCATTCGTGTTTCGAGCGACCCCCAAGGCTTCAAACAACTGCAGTTCAAACAACTGAACAGCTACCTGACAAAGAGATAATCGAATGATCATTGCCATGGGGGATCATAATGTAAGCTGTAAAAAAGCGACGAATTTAAAGTTTCTTTCCTGAGAAATAGGAAAACATAGAAATGGGTGCCACCACGAAATAACGACAAAAAAAAATAAAGAATTTTCCTTGCAAACCCTCCCGCGGCGATGGTAAGAAGCAAACGACGAGGGGAAGGAGCGCGCACATCACAATCACAAAAACTTTCTTAAACAAGCATATTCATCCAGAGAACACTCAGCAACGACTAAACGACGCAGACCTCACGGTGTTAAGTATTCTTTGATACAGAACAGTTCGGAAATTTTCTTTCAGCATCCACGACTTTCCAATACAAAAGATCCTTTAACATACCGAAACGTAAATACTCGATTTGACTGTTTTTGAAAATTTTCAAAAAGTGGCTTATGATGGGTACCTACCGTAGCTTTCGAAATATCTCAAAATTCGCACGGTTTCGAAGGAAAGGAACAAAGAGAACAAAAACAGTCGCCATAAAAATTTTCACACAAATGATTCAAAACCCAGGCTGAAACGCACCAGGCTCTCCGGTGCAATCATGCGTTTTTGCACTAACTTCGCAGATCGCTATTAGCTGCAATGACCTCTATAGACTAACACTTGAGCTCATATTGGCCGTGCTTTGATCCTTCCCGACACGCAGCACGAAGGGCATCAATTGGGATGAAGTTGGTGCATTATAAAACCGCACGGGCATCCAGGTGCATGATTACCGGTTTTCTGCGTAAAGTTCGGTCATTTTTTCGGCAAATGTTCGCTTTGTGAAAAAATGACAAATGCAATTTTTTTAAAAAAATGCAAGTTTTCAGTTCATTAAAAAGTGGAAGTATTGCTCAAGCTGTCGTTTGCCAAAAAATCCATGTATGCGAATTAACTAATGTTCATTTACACATACGATTGCGGTTCGGATCCGGGTTGCTAACGATTTTTGGGCTGAGGAGCTACTTGAGGCTGTGGTTGGGTGCTCGACAGCTGAGTTTAAAATCTTTAGCTCGCACGTGCGTAAATAATATTCCTGCAAAGTTTCAGCTTTCTACCTTGCCTGGTTCGCGAAATCGTTTCCTGCCAACATATTTCTTTGAGGGGCCCGTACGCGGGGTCTAGGCGCCTATGGGGGAACATTTTGAAACGGGAGGATGACACACGGGGTAGGAACATATACCCAAAGTTTCAGTCTCCCAGATTTCCTGATTGCTGAGATGATAGTAGGTGACAAAATGCGCTCGCTGCACAGCAAAAACGCATAAAAAGAGCATTGTAAAAATATAACAGTAGCGAGATCACTGATGAAAGAGCATTCGAACATATAAAAAGTGATGGAGAATGAAAAAGCAAGCGAAACGAAGATTCAGCTCGAATATAAAGCCAAAAACGAATTCAGCAACACATATACTATTGTGACTCAGCTAATATATGTAATTTTTAGCATTTGTTGCTCACCATTTTGAGAACATTCGTTAGTAATGCTAATATAATGAACGCTCGAGTGCAGCCTTCGGACTGTATCTGCTCTTCGTCTTAAATATGTCCGAAGTAGCATCTATGGAAACTCATACATGCTTAACTTCATCAGCTGATGGCAATCCGGGAAGGTGTGGAGAAAAACTGAGGCGGGTGATAAGAAGTAAACAACCGGAGGGAGCAAATGAGAAAAAATGCAAGAGAAAGGTCGGGTTTTTCAATAAGCTGGCAAACAGCTGAAACAGCTTCAGTAGGAATAATCCTGGATAGGCTGCTGAACAGATGCGACAAAAAAGTGTAAGGATGTGCTAGTTCAGAAAATTACAGTAGATCAAAAGCAAGAAAATGTACAGGGACAAAATGATTATGCGACAATTTTTGCTTGGAGCTACTCCAAATCTGAACTGCCAAATCTGCTTCCCTCAAATATTTACAAGGCTAATGTAAACTCATGCAAAATACATATCACACAAACATAGTGAATTGATATAAAAACTTCTTTTTCAAATGTTATAGTCAAATCATAATTTGTATCGAACAGCAAAGGGCATTTCCCATCTCTTCAAATCGGTTGTGCAAACAGAATTGAAGTACGGGTGCGAATTGTGGTCATTAACAAAATTAGAAAAGTGGACACTGGCTGTGACAAAGGCAGCAGCGGAACGAAGGATATTTGGCGTCTTTTCATGACCACATAAGCAATCAGACTCGCCCATCAGACAAACAACAAGAAAAGTGCCGCTGACCACGCCAAAAAAGTAATGTGGTGGGCAGGGAGGCTTGCTCGCCTTGGCGAGAACTAGGAGATTTGCGTATCAGTGAGTGGCATTTACTAGAAAGTAAACGAGTATTCGAGCGACCTTTGAAGAAGTGGTACACGTAGATTGAACAGGCTCAGACTACTAATTGGAGGATCGACGGTGAAAGGGACTCAAGCAACTGCATCTAGTGTGAAAAAATATTTCAAAAACATCATCACAGAATCCCCACAGCGACTGTCCGGGAGGTTTTGATGCTGTTGGTAAATTTAAATTCGCGGAACGCCAATAAAAATTAATGGATAATATGCTATACTTTTCCCAACCAAAAAAAAAAAAAAACAGATTCATGAATTCCATCGGACAAAGATGGTAAAATTCTATCAGAAAGATCAGGGAAGCAAATGCTGAACCCACGTTACGCTGAAAACAGCTCTTTTTCAAAGACCTGAACTAGAAAAAAACATAATATTCTTTATAAACTAGAAACAAACAAAATTTAGTGAGAGCTGTGGAAACAAACATACTATTAGTGATAGATTTGCACTGAAAAAGCTCATTAAGCAAAAAAGCAAAATATCATAAATCATCGAACATATTCGGAGAAGGATGCGCACCAGGCGAATCATGATTTCTCGTCGAACTTCCAGCTATTCCCAGCGGCGAATATTCGTCCCCATCATCTGCTCCTATGATTGGTTCACGATCACTGTATTCATTTATGCCAGGAAATCGGTAATTCAACACAGAAGCGTTGTTGGTTCCTCTAGATGCTCCATAGCCTATAGATACCGACTTTCAAAATAACAAACGTAAAAGACGATAATGATGACTAACTAAACACGTCGTTAAAGCTTCATTTGTTTTATTTTTTCGCTGTGACAACGGAGAAAGAAAGAACGTTCGGAACAATATCACGCACCGACTAAAACATTACGCTAAAAAAATGACATTCCAGTTTCCCCTTCTTGCT